ATTGCAATTAGTGCCCCCTACTGCAGAAAATGTCCACCTGTTCAAATAATTTGCAAGAACACCCTCTCTCTCTCTCTCTCCTCTCGGATTTCTTCTTCTTCAGCTTTTTCTTTCCGTTAAAAATAACATATCTTCTCACCATGTTCATAAGCGGCACCCCTGTGATAGATCTAATTGTCAACAAAGTACCCGTTTTAAGAATACTAGCATTTGCCCCCCATATTTTTTAGTCAAAGCCAACAAGACCCTTATGAGCATATCGTGTGTTTCACTCGTGGCTTGTGCGAGTAATTTTTTCGATTTTGCATATGAAATGACATAAATACCCTCTTATAAAAAAAGATAAACTCAATTTGTTTTGATTATCAATAATCTAAAGTATTAGGACCAATTTGCAATTTAAAAAAATCCTGAATTGTCAAATCCTCAATAATCTAACGGTTTAGGACCTAATTTTTCATCAAATCCTCAATTGTCTCCCTTTCTTTCTTCATTGATTTCATCCTGGTGCTCAAATAATCATCGTCGCCGGCGGCAACACAGCAAGACCCCCACCCCCAGCCGTAACACCACCACCACCACAGCCGCTGAACTTCAAAACCAGATCGAGCACGAACACTGTCTTGTTGGTGTTGGTGTTGAAAATTGAAGATGGTTGATGGATGGGATGCGGCGGCGGATTGTCTTGATTGTTGGTGATTGAGTGTTGGTAGATGATTGGCAGCACAATTGGGGGAAGTATTGCTGCATTTTTGTTTCTTTTGTTTCTAGAGGTATAAGAATTGGGGGAAGAAGTTACGAGAAGATGACATGTTTTGTTATTTATTTTTATTTCATTTTTGAATTTAAAAAAAAAAAAGTATATGATAAGGAAATAAATAGTATTTTTATACTAATTGCTAAAAATCCTCATAGGCTATTTATGTTATGTCACTTTTTTAGTTGATTTATTTATATTTTATTTTTCTTGAACGAAATTGTAAGCAAAAAGATTATATTGGGGCTAAATAATCAATATAGGTAAAAAAAAAAAAGGGTTGAAGTTCGTTGTCATGTGCCCGCGTGTGACTTTTTCCATCCAACTTAGCAGCAATTTCAAATGGTGAACTGAAAATGTAAGAAAATGCAGTTATTTGAGGACCAATTTCGTCGCAGAAAAAATTTAAGGACCAATATCAAAAGAGGTGTATAATATAGAGACCGAAACTGTAATTTTCCCACATATTTATCACTGCCAAAGAGTAAGTTATTTATTGGAAAATATACAATTTTCATCCCTATAGTTTGCACCAATTTCACATTTGGTCCCCATTGTCCATATAAAAATCCATTTGGTCCCTCGTGTTTCAAAAATCAACATTCAACCTTTTTCGTCAATTTTCCGTAAGTACTAAAGGAATTAAGTTTGTGCCCTTCACTGCCTTAACTGACAGATTAACGGTAAATTGACGGAAATGATCAAAGGTGTTAAATTATTGAAAAATGAAGGACTAAATGTATTTTTGCGAACATGGAGCTCCAAATATAAAATCAGTACAAATTTAAGAAATGACTATTATATTTTAAAGTTAAAAGGGTATAAGATCGAAAAGGAACCCGATTTATAATACAGTTCAAGCTAAACATGTACCTCACAAATTTACAAGGACAACGATATGTAGTATATATGCAATGGAATCTTATATATGATAAAGACGTAGAAAAAATACAACGATTAAATTTATTTTATACACTCTCTATATGTGTGTATATTTATATATATATATATATATATATATATATATATATATATATATATATATATATATATGAAATTAGTTTATTGGGAAATTTACAGTTTTTGCACCGTACGTTTGCAAGGATTTTATATTTGGTCCCCTATGTTCTAAAAAAATACATCTGGTCCCTCATGTTTCAATAATTTAACATTATTGGTTATTTTCGTCAATTTACCGTTAGTTCGTCAGTTAAAGTAGTGATGGCAACATGTTTGATTCCATTAGTTTTAACGGAAAATTGACATAAATAACTAAAAATGTTAAACATTTGAAAATGATGGACCAAATGTGTTATTTGTGTGTAAACATGGGGAACAAATGTGAAATCAGTGCAACCTGAAGGATGAAAACTATATTTTTCCCTTATTTTATTACTTCAAAGACATGGATTCATGATAAACATGATATAAGGAGATTATTATAGTAATTATTTTTATAATGAATATCTTACTTAGAAGTAACTGGTCAAACTAAAATTTATTTTTCTTAGTTATCCCTAAGTTAGATTTGTGTACAATGTAAATTTTGGTAGAATAATGCATGTTAAATAAAATTAATTTACATTTCAGATTACAATTATGGATATTCTTCGTTTATATTAATTATATCGTTGATTTTTATTATGTAACCTATGGTGGATGTCTATAGAGGTTACAAAACCATTAGTGTGTGTAATTAGAGGTGATAATGGTGGATGTTAAGGCCATTCATTTCCTTGTAACTCATGACATTTTGAATGGTCTTCTTGTACTATAAAAGGGACACCATTGTATAGAATTGGAATACACTTGAATAAGAATACAATACATACACACACTTGATCTCTTCTTGTCTTTCCATTGTTTTATAACACGTTATCAGCACGATTGTTCTAAGTAAATTTTCGAGTGAAGATGATCCAAGGAAGATATAGGATTAATATAATGTAGCAAACACATTGAACAAAGAAACAATTAGTGCTAAATGAGATTTCAATTTATTTGTACCATTTCGACTTTAACGTGTTTTTGATCCTTTTCGAGTTCGAATTTGGAAAAATCTCAAATCAATAAATATGTAGCCATTTGAATAGCTTTTTCTAATCCAACTTGAATCATTTAGTCAACTCTAATAGCTGAAAATGGATGTATACTTTTCTCAAATGGAGAAAAATATTTTGGACATCTCTTCACTAAAAAAAGTAGGGGGGTTTTACTCAAAGAGCTAGCCCCTTGAACTAATTTGAAGTTTCTAACGATCCTTACCCAAAAAGAAAAAATAAAACAAAAGATAAACAAACTTGAAAACGAGAAGTTGTTAGGAATTACTCCCTCCGTTCCTATATAATTGTCATTTTTAACTTGTGTACAAGGATTAAAGATCTCAATAAATGTTGCTTATTTTACAAAAAAATATATGGTCTTATACTAAAATGCTCTTGCCAATACTTAATGTGAGAGAGTGTTGGAGATAGTTAATAAGGATAAAATTGATAATTACACAATTAATGCAGTATTGGAAATTTAAAACGACAGATAATATAGAACAAAAATAATTTTAAAAGGAGACAATTATTATGGAACAGAGGGAGTAAAAGATAAACAAACTTGAAAAGGACAAGTTGTTAGGAGTTAAATATAGCCATATAACCCGCAAAATGTGGGGGGAACATTGACCTGTGCTTGACCACAAAGTCAAGGCATCTTATTAGTATACTATATTTATATGTCTTTCATTAATTAATAGGGCAAATTGCACTTCACCCCCCTCAAAAATTGCCGTTTTTGCACTTTCCCCTCTAGAAATAGAAAAACGAGACTGTCCCCCTTAGAAATATATAAATCGGTGCACTTTGCCCCAAGTCTCGATTTACAGGCTAATTCTCGCCGGATTAAGGGTATACAAGTCATTGTACTTTTTCCTCTTCAAAATCCCGCGATTAAGGGTTCTCCATGCCACAATAGTCAATTCCCAAATTGAACGACTCCCAAGTATTACCGTTTGGGGGTCTTCTTTTTCTCCCAGATCGTACAGCAAAAAAAATCCTAGGGTTCTTCTTTTACTCCCAAAATCAATTGAATCCGCAGGCAACGACCAGGTGTTTTCCATCGATCCGCAGAGGTAACAATTTTCTCCATAATTTTATCCATACCTATGATATTTTGTCTTTTGATCTGAACATTGGGGGAACTGAAATCTTGAAGAATTTGGGATAACTCTGCTACATCGATCTTTTCTCTTCTACCTTGAACTAATTAATATTGAGCTCACATGGGGTATTTAGGTTGAATTAATTTGTATTGTGCATCTTAGTGCTCTTGAGTTCGTTGTTTGAATTATTAAACTGATAGTGTTTACTGTTTTGTTTTGCAAGAAAAATCATGCAAAATCCAACCTGCTTTTGTGGAAATATGGTGGTGCAGAGGACTTCTTGGACTGATCGAAATCCGGGAAGGAGGTACACTACTTGTATTAAGTATAAGGTACACATTGCAACTTGTAGAAATTTATATATATATACACAATTGTGAGAATATGTTCTAAGGTTTGCAATATTTTCTGAATTCAGGAACAAGGTGGTTGTGAATTTTTTGCTTGGTTTGATCCTCCCATGGGAAATAGGTCGAATCAATGGATATGAATCTGAAATTTCTCACAGAAGATCAAGGGAGAATAAATTAGGGATTTTGTTGGTGTTCTCTTGGATAGTTATGTATTGGTTGTTTGGTGCCTCGGGTGGATTCAAAATGGCTAACACTTTGGAACTTGCTTAATGGTATTGAGAACTACAATAACCTGGAGCAGAAGCATGTATGGTGTTTAGGAGTAGGACTATATGTTGTACTTTCTATGCAGTGTACTGTAATTTTCAATTGATGTAATGTACTTGAGTTTAAATTGTTAGTTTATGAAGTGTATGTAAACTTGAATCATAATTATTAGTTTATGTAATATAATGCGTTCTTTATTTTGACCAAAAAAAAATCTTAAAAAAAACAGTCAGGAGCTTGAACAGAACAGTAGCTTAAACCATATAATATTGGACAAAATTAAAATGTGCCAAATGTGATTTGCTTGACAAAAAAGTAGCAGACCTTAGCTACTACAGATCCTTGACAAAAAACCAAAACAACCATCAACCTACAAGTTACTAAAGATCCTTGACAAAATAACCATCAATTATTAAACATTCAAAAAACAAAAAATACATCAAAGACCATTGACAAAAAAAAAAAAAACTAGCTACTGCAGATCAGTTCCATGTCTAAAGCCAGCATCTTGAGATGGTCTTGGAGCAGTTTGAGTAGAAACTATTGTTGCTTCTCTTGCTCTTGAATTACTTTTATTTCTCCTAACCTAAAAACAAGAATACGATAGTAAGTATAACTTAAATGCAAGCCAATTATTTTTTTATAAACTGAATTTGAGTTACCTTTAGTTTAGGATTGGTAGAATTTTCTGCTCTTGCTTCCACAACTTTTTTTTGGGGCAGGTTCTCTTGTAATGTCCAGATTCTTTACATATGGAACATTTATTTGATGTCCCTCTCCTTGCTAGCTTCTTCTTGCCCTCTTTAGTAGTAATTTCTTCACCAGGTTGCTTCCTCCTAATCTTCTTTGGTCTTCCAGGAAGTTTTTCCACAAGAGGAGGGTGCAGTGGGATCCTTGTGGATTTTGGCCACACTTCAGGGCCACGCATTGGATTCATTAATCTACTATAAGCCTTCAAGTACACATCCTTCTTGTACCAATCAACTACATAGTCTTCAGGTTTATAGTGCATATAAAACATACCTGCAATAGCATGTTTGCAAGGTATCCCTGACAGATCCCATTTTCTGCAGCTACAAGTTTTCTCCCCCAAGTGTACTGTGTACTTCTCATGAAATGCACCAATTACCTCAAACTGGTCATGTCCATTCCACTCAACCATGTATTCCATAGCTTTTTTTTTTAGTTCATCCACCATGAATTGAATTTTTGGACACAAAATGCTACTACTTTTACTGACCAAATCTCTTTGTTGATGAATTCTCTTCATCAACATTAACCGGATCAACTCAAGCATCGAGATTATTGGGTGATCTCTGGCTTTTATTATCATCCCATTAAAACTCTCACATAAATTGTTAAGTAGCATATCACACTTAAGAGAAGTGCTAAAATAAGATATGGACCAGTGTTGGGGTGATCTACCTGACAACCACTGAAATGCTTTAATATGAACACTTTTCAACTCATCCATTGCTGCATTGAAGTCCACAATCCTTGTTGATGTTGCTGCTCTCCACAATAGTTCCTTCAAACGCAATCCTCGGTGACTCAGTTTAAAGTTATTGTACAAATGTAAAACACAAAACATGTGTTCAGCATCTGGTAATAAGTTTGCAACGGCTTCAACTAGACCTTTCTGCTTATCTGACATTATAGTCCAATTGTAACTGTCACCACCAATGCCCGAATCTGCAGTTAAAAGCTCTAGAAACCACAACCATGAACTAGTCTTCTCTTTCTCAACAATAGCATATGCAAAAGGGTACATACTATTATTTCCATCAACACCAACTGCAGCAAGAAGAATCCCTCCACTTGGACCCTTTAAATGACAACCATCTAATCCTATCAAAGGCCTACATCCCTCCAAAAATCCCATTTTCAGCACACCCCAACAAATATACATCCTTTGAAATCTCATCACATTATCTTCACCAATATGAGTCTTGATTTTCACTGTAGTATCTGGATTTGTTTCTCTAATCTCCTCACCATAGTCCCACAATCTAGAAAACTGCTCATCTTCACCACCACTAGCTTGTTCCAACCCCTTTATCCTGGCTCTGTAAAGCTGAAATCTTGAAAATTCTAAATGGCATTCCTTTTGTGCAACAGTCATCATAGATTTAATAGGCCATGAAGGATTGGTCCTTATATGATCATGGTACTTTTTGGCCAAGAATATGGAATTAGCAGCTGAAACCTTGTTTTGTCTGCTACAACTGTGCTCTGCTCCCACTGTGTTGACTTGCATTGTATTTTCACCATGTTTGTTAGAAGCATAGACCATCCACTCACAGTTTTCATCCTTGCAAATTACTCTAACTCTATCTGGATCATTTTTCTTAAATGTAACATCTCTTCCATGCTTCATAGAGTGTCTTCTCACAGCTGCTCTAAAAATATCAGTAGATGCAAAGCATAGCCCAACAACAAATTTAGGATCATCCATATCTGCTTCAGGATTGAAGAGAAGTGGATATGCATCATTGTGTTTAGAAGCAGAAGCGGATTGACCTTCTCTTTAGCCTTATTCTGATAGACTAAAGTATTATCACCACTATTTTGGCACATAAATACCCCATTCCATTCAATGTCCACATCTATGTTTGCATCAAACCATCATCATACTCACTGTCATGTAGCCTATCAGAATAATCAGTATCTTCCCCAAACGATTGTTCTACATCAGATTCACAACCAGCACTTACATCAGTAGTCTCTCTCCCAGTATTAGTCTCCATCTCATTATAATCATCAGCATAAATAGGCTCTTCATTATCAATATCATCTCCAAAGTTTCCTTCTTCAATATCATAACCATCGCCATCATCAGAAACAAGTTCATCTACCTTAACATGTTCAACAAACACACCAACCACTCTATCATCATCAACAAAAGACCCCAAATTCATAGCATCGATGTCACTTACCAATTCTTTTATTGCAGTGCATTCATAAGAGAGAGAGAGACTTTGATAATACCTAATTACAACATTATTATCACCTGGTTGAACAAGACCTAATTCTACAGACATTGAATGCATCTCTCTCATCGACATCATATCTGAATTGCAATGGTCAAAGTGATCGATTTTACCTCCAACATAACACCTTGAACCAATATCAGCAAAATATCCTCCATGGTGCATTTGAATAGTGAAATCGGTTGGGTCATCTCCTAAAATAAAAAAAAAATGCAAAAATTAGTCATACTGTAAAGAAAACTCAAATTTATACAAAATCATTAACACAATCGAAGGTAGGTGCTCACCATAGTCAGGTCTCTGCATTCCTTGCCGTAATTCCCAACCCATTGTCTTGATTGCGTTGTGCAAATACTGGTTATGAAGAACAACAAAAGAGAATATTGTGGCTTTGGGTGAGAATTTTGTCAATTTGGGAAGTCAATTTTGTGGCTTTGGGAGTCGTTCAATTTGGGAATTGACTATTGTGGCATGGAGAACCCTTAATCGCGGGATTTTGAAGAGGAAAAAGTACAATGACTTGTATACCCTTAATCCGGCGAGAATTAGCATGTAAATCGAGACTTGGGGCAAAGTGCACCGACTTATATATTTCTAAGGGGGACAGTCTCGTTTTTCTATTTCTAGGGGGGAAAGTGCAAAAACGGCAATTTTTTAGGGGGTGAAGTGCAATTTGCCCTAATTAATATTTGATTTTGGGTTACTAGCTAGGACTGTTATTTGACATGTAAATTTTGTTCTTATCCCAATCTTGAGTTGGATCTAATAACAAAACAAATCAAGTACTAATAATAATATTGTTTAAAATTTATGATTTAATTTGTTGAAACAATTACAAAGTATGGAGTAACACTCGGATAATTAATATATTGAAAACAAAGAATACATATATACATTTTGCCTTAACACAAAGTCAAGTAAATAATTTACATTCGTCATTTACAAGTTGCAACAAAGTACGCCGACACTTTATTTTATACAAAATTGAACGAAACGCATGACAGACAACATGCACAAACACACAGGCACACACGTGGATGTGTGTGTGCGCCTAAGGCGAGTTGACAGTACTCTCTGATGAAGTAGTTCTAACTAATTTATGCCTGGCTGCATATCGATGGACCAACGCCAGAGCATTGCTGGTGACTTGTGCACAATCAATTACCCTCACCCTCACAGCAACCTCAACACTCCCACCAATCACGGGGCTCGAAAATCCATCGAGGCACGTGTTCTGAAAAGTGAGGGCCGCCCCAACCCACGACTCGACGTTGCTATCGTGCCAGTTGAAGTCCACCTGGTTGTGGGTCCCACTCCATCCGCCGAGCTCCTTCACCGCTCGGCTCAGCTGGTCGACCGTGCTAGCCATGTTTTCCACGCAGTCTTTCACGGCTCGGTACTCCATCGGCTTCAAGCCCCTAATCCGAGCCGCCTTGGAGATGAAGGTAGCCGCGGATCGAGCCCTGGATAAGCTGACCGACAGAGCGGCTTGAGCCAGCTGCTTATGGCTGCTCAGCGGGGTTGTGGTGGAGTTGTAGGTGGAGAGACACTGGATGCAGAGAGATGGGTAGAGAGTGGCGGTTCGGCATTCGGCTTTGATGAAATTGGTGACGTCATCATCATTAGCTGTGTTTGAATGATTGGTGTTAGAGGAAGGTTTTGTTGCTGTGGAAAGCGTGTGATGAAAATACAAGAGAGAGAGCAAGATTAATATGCTGCTGAGTTTTAACATGGTGGTTAATTTTACAAGCGTTTGTGTAGTGGGAAGAGTGAAGACAGAGCTAAGTAGTGTATAATGTTTTATGCATCGGCTTATGAGGAGCTTTATATAGAGTTTCCTGTGAATTAGATGGTACATCTGATTATTTATTTAGGTTGGGTGAATTTGAATTGTGAATTTATTAAACAATTATCCACTAATAACATATACACATAGTTGTGTGTGATTACGTGTAGATCTACGCCTCAAATCTACCTAGTGTAGATAACAAGGTGTAGGATCTAATTTTCGGAGTTTTCTATACCCTTCTATTTGTATAGATGGAAACTAGAAATTATTTAAGAATAAATAAGTTAAAATAATTTTGAAGTATTTTCTAGGGAAAGAAACAAATAGACTCATAATAAATAGGGGGTGCGTTGCAAACACGAATAATTAGATGTTACACCTGATTATTTACATTAGGTGTATTTTAATCGTAAATCTACACATAATCACAGACATTCATGTGTGTGTATCTTAGTGAATGATTATTTGATTTATCAAATCCCCAGTTAAAATACACGATATAAATAATCAAGTATAACATCTAATTTCCCTTGAAAACACTCATGCTTTTAAACATCTAATGACAATGACAATCTTTATTGTTAAAAATACACCCATAAAAATTTTAATTAATTAATCTTGTTATATGTAACACATGCATGTGATTATGTCATGTGTATGTATGAATTATTAATCGTAACAAAACATAAACTTTTAATAATAATCATATTCAAAATGATTCTTTAGAAGCGGTTTGGATATTGGTCTTTCATAAACATTTGATTATACTACGGTTGCGTGAAGCTTCCTAGTAGTTTCACATAATTATGTATGTATTAGTCTAATTATTAATTAGTGAAAACATGTGTATTTTTTTGTCCCAAAATATGAGCCAGAACATCACTTCCAAACGAAGTCAGATTTCTGTCAAAATCATATATTTTAAATAAATTACTAATGTGCCACTGAAAGAAGTCCAGTGGATTAAGATTATGGATTACCATAAGCATGTGGATTAAGATTATAGCCCTTCATAAATACGATAAATCCATTTCTAAAAAGAAAAATAAAATTGAGTACATCCTCGTCCTGTACAAGTGTGCAGACTACAGAGAATAAAATAGAATAAATAAAAGTCAACTTTTTTTTTTTTTGTTTTTTTTGCAATACCAATGCGAGCAATTGATGATAAGTATGGAATGCCAGGCAATAGTGATAGTGATAAACATCAACCAAATAACTAATTAAATAAAAGACAATTTGAGAATAGTCAATTCTACTCATTCCTTGAGAGTAATTTAATTGTACGACTGAGTTCAGACACAAAGTTTATCACTTCTAAATGAGTCTTCTAATTAATTTATTGAAGCATTGGGCGGAAGGAGCGAAAGTTCCAGAAACGTTTGTAGGCATCGAAATTTTGAGATAAATTACCGGTTAATAATTCCATAAATCGATTATTAAACTGGATTTCACTCAAGGTCCATAATAAATTTAGGCGTTACAAATGGCCGACCCATCCTATAAACCAAGAAACCCTAGCTCGTGGCTATAAAAAGACGGTTTCGATGCATCTAAAAATCAGACTCACAAAGACACAAATCGAGCTCTCAAGCTCACGTCTCGAGCCACCGTCTCGGATTCATAACATATTTGAATACTAAAAAAAACTTATTTGGGTATCAAAATGGTAGTTTTAGCTCTTAATTTCCCCATTAGAGTTGCTCCAAAAAAAAACTACCACTTTGATACTCAAAAAAAAAAAAAACAAATCTCCTCCAATGGAGGCATTAAAGTTACAATTATTTTGATACTCAACCACCCTGAGGTACAAAAATGCTCCCTGAAAATTAAGGTATAAAAAATATAACTACTCCATTAACCTATCACAATTTGACATGTGGCATTTAAAAATATAATTATTCATATATATAAAATTTGATAATCTATTTGATACTTGTGGTTGGAATGAATTTTTTTATCTAGAAGTATCAAAGTATTATATCAAATATCAAATGAATGTTTAATACTCCATTTTGATATCTCCCCATTGGAGTTGCTCTAATACCCTTCGAACCATTAAAATAAATAATGGATATTCAATAATAACTTCAACAATCTTTCAAAATTGCAATTTTATTATTTCAATATTCTAATTTAATGAATAAAAAAATCTGAAATTTAGGTTTGGTTTTTCTTTAGTTTATATTGTTTTTTCAATATTCCAATTTTATAGTTTATCTAATTATTAGGGCACTTTACAAATAAGCACATCAATGAGTACTTAATCATAAAGGTGTTGAGATAACAAACTCTGCTGCAAAAAAGTTGACACATGGCCTGAAGTTCGTAAAATATTAAAATAACCCCTTCACATTTTAATATGCTCCAATTTCATCATTTAATTTAATTTAACCTCAATTTGACCCCAAATTTCACAAATTATTTGATTTTGATTCAAAACTCAATTTTATGGACAATTTTGTCCATCGCCACCATTAACCGCTAGTCTCCGACATTGACTTTGTTTTTTCTTCCTGATTTTCCGTCGCCGGTCTCCGGCATTGACTTTTTCAATTTTATTATTTTTTTTTTCTTTAAAATCTTTTTGCCATTTTATACAACAATATTTCTATGGTTGACAGTAATATTAACTAAATTACTGTTAAACACTGTAAAATTAACTATACTACAGTTTAACAAAGTAATATTGTTATATTAATCTCTAGCACAGTAATATTAAGACAACAAAAGTCATTATTATTGTGTAATAGAGTAATAATAATATGTTGACCGTTCAACAAAAAGGTAAACATAATAAAAATCCAAAAGAATTAATTTTACTGCGGTTGACAGTAATATTATTACGTTACTCTATCAATAACTCAAACAAAACAAAAAACCCAAAAAAATTAATAATATTGATGTGGTTGACAGTAATATTATTGTGTTTACAGTTATTTTACTGTCAACAACAGTAATATAATTACGTTGACTTGTCAGCAAATCAAACAAAATAATAAAAAAAAAAACCAAAAAAATAATAATATTATCGTTGACTCTAATTGATAAGGGAAGTCAAATTGGATTCGAATTTCAAAATAACTATTTAATTTGGAGATGAGTTATTAACGGGCATTTGGTGGAAATATCGAAAGAAATTATGGAAAGATAAGGGTTTTCTACGAATTCAAATTGTATTTGAGAACGAAACGAACTATATCTCAAGTGAAACGACGCAAGGAACAAAAATCATGAGAAAAGCTCATGAATCACGTCAAATTTCAGCAATCTAACGTCGTTTAGACTCCTAAAAGTTTGTTTTTGTTATTTTAGGCAAGTTTTAGAAAATTAATATCGAATTATAGAAAAATCGTATTAGGATTTCGTAAATTGGGGTGTCGAAAAATTAAGACATCTACTAGTCTAAGGCTCTAACTCGTTTTTGCCATTTTTGGTACTTTTTTGTAGGGTTAAATACAAAAACACCTCTGTACTATGGATTTTGTATCATATACCCCATATACTGTACATAAATACAGAAAAACCCCTAGTTACATTTTTTTCCAAAATGTGACGAAAATATCCCAATTTAAGCCTATGGGTTTGTTTGAGCCATTTTTCACTATATTTTTTTTTAACATTTTTACTCAATTTTATTTGAGAAATTTTGGTATTTATATTTTTTTGGCCAACACATCTAATTGCTTAGATTTTTTTAATTTTTTATCAAAATCTTTTATTTTTTGTCATTTTGAGTCTCTTCATTTTTTTCTTGAATGTCTTCCGGTAGTTCAAGCATCCCAAGATTATAAATATTTTTACAATCCTATGATTGTTGAGAATTTGAACCACAGGAAGACATTTAAGAAAAATATAAAGAAACTCAAAATGACAAATATAAAAGGTTTTATTCAGAAACGGGTTGAGACATTTGAGATTGTTGGCCCAAACCTTATTTGAAGATGATTGGGCCTCGATGATAGTGGTCTTCAATATTGGGCTCCTGGCCCAGTATGTAAATAAATTGTAAGCCCATTGGGTTGGCCCAATTAGGCATATCATTAAACCCCCCACTCTCGAGTCGATGTGGGGGCCATGTTGAAATGGGTGCCAGATCGTGTCGAGAGTAAAAATTGTAGTAGTCGCTCTTTGGCGTATGGCCTGATGGTGTGAGACAACGCGTTGGAGCGTGTCTCGGAGGGGCGTCAAGGCGCGTAGGCGCGTAGCGCGACCAAGTTGTCGCGATATAAGTTACTTGAGTCGTCGGTGTTGTTCCGCGACGATGTGGTAGCGCGGATCGAGTTATCTCTTCATCGAAGTTGTTATTTATTGACATTGTCAATGGTTTGACGCGTTGCTTGCATGTGTTTACATATAGCTTTGTGCGTAATGTACTTGATGAGTGGATCAGACTCCCAACATTTTTTGATGGGGATCGTGCCCCTTGTTAGACCTCGTGGGTCGTAAGTATGTTTGGACCGTGGCCACCTTTTAATGAAGGACCCGTCGAAGACAAGTAAAGAAATTTGAGTAATCGAGCTGGCCAGGCTATATAGATTCCCATAATATTTCTAAGTGTTTCTAGGGTTGTATATGTGTTACCTTGAGCTTGTGATTGTGTAGTGAATTGCGAGCGAGTTGTCTCCTCGAGAGAATTGTCTCGCAGCGAAGTTGTTGGAGCGTTGGATGACGCGCGACTGAGGAGTGTGCGGATTGAGGTCGCTTTGAGCGAGTTGTAGTAGCGAGTGAGTTGGCTCCTCGTGGGAGTTGTCTTGCTGCCGGTTGTAGTACCGAGCGAGTTGGCTCCTCGTGGGAGTTGTCTCGCTGCGGGTTTGTAGTACCGAGCGAGTTGTCTCCTCGTGGGAGTTGTCTCGCTGCGGGTTGTGGTACCGATCGAGTTGGCTCCTCGTGGGAGTTGTCTCGCTGCAGGTTGGTATTACCGAGCGAGTTGGCTCCTCGTGGGAGTTGTCTCGCTGCGGGTTATAGTACCGAGTGAGTTGGATCCTCATGGGAGTTGTCTCGTTGCGGGTTCGTATTACCGAGCGAGTTGGCTCATCGTGGGAGTTGTCTCGCTGCAGG